AATAATACTTGGATCACCTGTATAGTTGTTGAATTCAACCCTTGACTTCTCCAATGAAGCATGCACCCGAGCTTGAGGATGGAGACGAGAGTTGTCTAAGGAGATATGGGAGTAGGTAAATGCGATAGGTGCGCGAAAGAGTCATCAATTGTTGAAAGAGGCTGACAGACAACCTGCGGACCCCAACAACAGGCAACTTGGCTACCTGCCACAGCTCCGTGCAAGGATAACTCGCGAAATCTCTCAACAAGACATTCTTCCGTCGTCGAAGTACCGACAGCAATGGACGATGGGAGCAGTTCTGTTGTCCAACGGACACCAGAAGAAGTCTGGTGGATGATCCTTGACGATGTGATCGATGAACCACTATTGTATGCCACTAGTTATAAAGGAGGTGACTGGTTCAATGATGGACACATGTCAAGGCAGGAGTTTTATGATCGATATGAGAAACAAAGAAAGGTCATCGGTTCTGTATGCCGACTATGGCAAACTTTCGCGCGATACAAGAAGTTTCATAGAGTAGGATTGAAGGATGATACTGATTGGGATCAAGAGACGACGGGAAAGGCGCGCCACGTCTTACTCCATTCGTCCTCCATACTCTCTCGGTTTGCACCAGGTACGAGTGTAGAATGGGAGTCCCTCGGACTAGAACTCTCAGAGCAGCTTCCTCGACTCGTTTCGATGCTCTCATATCCCCGCCTTCGACGTCTTGAACTATCCTTAACAGAACACGTCTCACAGCCCCACCTCCTATTTACAGAGATATTAGGCGTATTTCCAGAGATAAATTGGCTCGATCTTAACGTCTCCCTCGACTCGGTACCAAACCAATTTGTTCACACTCCTCCATCGTTTATCGAGCTGGAGTTCCTTGAGGCTGGGAAAATCAGTCCATGAAGGGAATTGTAGGGATCGAAGTGTTCTGTTATTTATCACTTTTATGACCACCGACCAAAGTGAGTGCCGGTAAGGCCGGAGTATGTCCAGTATAGGAAGTCGCCAGATGTACATATCAAAAAGAAAATAAAGGTATCGAAGGGACGGAAGGACGAAATTGGGTAGAAGAGAGGTGGCTGGGTATCTGCACTTACACCAGAAGACTTCCAGCTTTGGTAAGGTAATGGATGGAGGAGTGTGAACAAATTGGTTTGGTACCGAGTCGAGGGAGACGTTAAGATCGAGCCAATTTATCTCTGGAAATACGCCTAATATCTCTGTAAATAGGAGGTGGGGCTGTGAGACGTGTTCTGTTAAGGATAGTTCAAGACGTCGAAGGCGGGGATATGAGAGCATCGAAACGAGTCGAGGAAGCTGCTCTGAGAGTTCTAGTCCGAGGGACTCCCATTCTACACTCGTACCTGGTGCAAACCGAGAGAGTATGGAGGACGAATGGAGTAAGACGTGGCGCGCCTTTCCCGTCGTCTCTTGATCCCAATCAGTATCATCCTTCAATCCTACTCTATGAAACTTCTTGTATCGCGCGAAAGTTTGCCATAGTCGGCATACAGAACCGATGACCTTTCTTTGTTTCTCATATCGATCATAAAACTCCTGCCTTGACATGTGTCCATCATTGAACCAGTCACCTCCTTTATAACTAGTGGCATACAATAGTGGTTCATCGATCACATCGTCAAGGATCATCCACCAGACTTCTTCTGGTGTCCGTTGGACAACAGAACTGCTCCCATCGTCCATTGCTGTCGGTACTTCGACGACGGAAGAATGTCTTGTTGAGAGATTTCGCGAGTTATCCTTGCACGGAGCTGTGGCAGGTAGCCAAGTTGCCTGTTGTTGGGGTCCGCAGGTTGTCTGTCAGCCTCTTTCAACAATTGATGACTCTTTCGCGCACCTATCGCATTTACCTACTCCCATATCTCCTTAGACAACTCTCGTCTCCATCCTCAAGCTCGGGTGCATGCTTCATTGGAGAAGTCAAGGGTTGAATTCAACAACTATACAGGTGATCCAAGTATTATT